AAGCATTTTTTTTGGCTACAGATGCATTCTGTGATTTAGTTATCAATTAACGCTGAGTTCTCTGAAGTAAGTTATCGCCGCAATTCTTGTTCCGTCCGACGACTATCCATAAAATTCGGAATCTATGGCAATAATCGATCTCGCTTCGAGATGCGCAACTGCATTCGACTTTCACTCTGAATCGTTATGTCAATTTGATTGCGTATTTAGTCTACACAATTCTTAAGGTAGCAAGCCGACGATCAAGACAATGCCTCTATCCTTCCAGACGAGTATGGCAGGTAACTTTGAATCCGAGAATTTATCCCTGGACCATTAAGGCGTGTTAGTGCTCTACTTGCTTTGCTATGTACCGGATTCGCTCAGGAGTGTGCACGCTCTTCAATAAATATTGTAGATATAAATTATCTGGTAGTTATTAGTTTACATAATCTTCTGTGTGCTTCGTGACTTGTTCGCGGTGCTGCATTTCACTTGATCAGACTTACAAGGAGTATAACTTGAAAAAATAGTTAATTCTTTGTTTCTGTAGGGATAGTAGAGTTGCCTTATAGCTTACAGCGGACGTTTTGCAGTGGCTTAGAGACCTATTCAAAAAATTTGAACATATGATTTATCAACTGGTAGGTATTTGAACAGATTGCACTACTGTAAATGAAGCCCCTCCCCCCTTCTGATCAAAAGAATTGTTGAAAGTTGATCACTTCATTGCCTGGAGGGGATCATTTCCTCACACAGTTGTGATGGGTGGCAGAATGACCCTGTGTATGACTACGGGAATGCCTCATTGAACGGTTGTTTGACTCATCCCTGCGCAAGTGAACAAAGAGTATTGTGACAATCAGAGTATACAAGCAGAATGTCACGTTCTCGCTCTCGAAAAAAATTTCGATGAGATCAAGGGGTAAATAGGGCGCCTGCTGAAGTGTTTGCGGGTGGAAAACAGTAACAGATGAAGAGGACTTTTTATATTTCAATTGCTTTGCCTCCTTTCGGTGCCTCCTTAGGCGAAGTAGAATTCCAAGCAGTTGACAAGATATTTATGGCTGGGATAAAAGAAAGCTTTAAAGCTTTAAATTGTTCCACTAGCGACTAGTAACTCATGAATTGAGGCCATAATTTCTCTTATACACTAGCAGAATTTTATGGCCACGCTTGAAGTCCTTTCTGAAGTAGGATCTTGCTTCGAGGTACCACAAAAAGCGAGACCAAGTGCGACTCATCCCCTTCGCCAGCCTCAACGCTACCCATCGTTTCCTTTGCTTCCTTATTTGCTCATGTTCCTTATATGTGCATTCGAACCAGCGCTTATTTATCCTACAATATATTTATTCATTTGTCCATCACTTTTAAGTGAGCGGAGAAGTGGTGCATGAATTTGTCTCAAACCCGAATTTCAACCTTACTTTACATTGATTGTATACGCCTTCCGACAGAAGGGAAAGGATGCAAACTCGAGTAGTTTTCTCTATGTGTTTATTTACTTGATTCACTGTTTATTTACTGAGCACTTGAACGTCTTTTTGAAACTCTCTTAGATATCTTATTCCTCTGCTCACCTTGAATCAATGTTATAAATGGACATTCGTTTAAATGGGCTAGAGGCAAGTGGCTTCACAGCTTACGTCTGCATTTAAGTGTGTCATCTCTCAACACGACAACCATCGATACCAATAAATCATCGCTTTACTCCCTTGAAATACTTAAGTGTATGATAAATAGACTAAAAAATAAAAAAAATATGCATGAAAATAATTTTTGGTGCTCAGCATAGGTGTGGGACATCCAGAGAAGCCCATGGACACAACGGAAGCCTAAAATACAGAATAAGTCCAAAATATGGAATGAGACGATTAAGTGAGCGAAACTTTTTGAGAGATACTGCTTGTTTCACATAAGGAGGCCCCATGCGTATGAACACGACTTTACCTTCCGCAATCTTTGGAGGCGAGTTGATTTGTGTAAGAACTACCTAACACCCATTCCTCACTTCTCTACCTCTTTATTCCTTTTAGGTAAGTCACGCACTGCGATACAGCTTCAATTTCTACGTAAGGCTCTAGGCACGCTTGAGACCAGGTATTTTTCCTTAATAACGACCTGGAAGTACTTTCTAGTATTCTGCCTGCTACCTCGTCTAAGACGGATGTACCAACCATAAGGAGTACGATAAGGTGCATTAAGAGAGAGTCCCAACGAGGGACATGCCTGCTCCCTCAGCTCCATGTGCTGCAGCCAGGTTGCTCCCGAAACATGCTCCCATTTTGACACATTTCTTCAAAAGCTTTCGTTATTGTTCAGTTTTCGCTGTGAACCGCCCATCACTTCGTTTCTCTGGTAACCGACGTTGGTGCTCGTACTCCTTCGTTGTTTGATGAATGGTGCTTTATGTAGTTCTATTTATGGTAATCTCGTTAACCCCTGCTTTTCACCCAACAGGAAATCTGTAAGAAAGTCAAGGAACCACTTTGAGTGGTCTCTCTCAGGCCCGGTTGTCATTCTCAAATCTTTGTTATCAGGAACGATGCCCGGCTTCTTGAAATGCCACTTCCACGCGAGGATGATTGCCGTAGAAATGCGGTCCGCAGACCTGATTAGGTTTTCTTGGATGAATTCTATAATGGACTTTCACTCGGAGTAAGATGAGCATCCCAATGGATTATGACTGTGAAACGTGCGTTGAGTGTTCTTTGCGGTTTCTTCGTGTTCTCCAGACCGTCCTAGAATCCTTGTCAGGCTCCTCTTCGTTTTAATAAGAATCTTATCTAGCAACCGTTAGTATAATATTTATTTGGTCCTCATCTGTACAATGTATCCTTGATAAGTGTTCTCTTTTACAAATTACAAAAAGTCATTCACCTCTCAGTCCTAATCCTCGGTTTTCCCTTTTTTCACAACCCTCCCTACTTTCGCATGCAGGGCTTGCCTATATTGTACATATATGCAACTGCATAATTTAGGACAAGGAAAACCAGTTTTGCCAAAATCTATTACGAAGTGCCGATGAAGCTTGCACTGCAAGAAAAGGCCTACATCAACTTTTTAAATGGAATCGAGAACTGTAGAGGAAGACAGAGGCATTCAAATCCATCATGTTCGACAATCAAAGGATCTCTGTATGAAAAGAAAGGGATAATGGTAATGTTAGTTCTCTCACAGTTCCCGTGATAAACCTGTTTCCTGTTAAGAACTCTCGTTATTCTCCGATATGGCTATATTTCGCTCGCCTTTGTTTCGGAAGGCATGAAAAGAACGGGAGGTGGCTTGTGAGGGATCAGCTAGACAGCCTCAATTCACACAAAATCCAAAATGACTTTGCTATTATCCTCTCATACGTTGTTGCGATTGTAGTGGGAGATGATGTGTCATAATACGGATCAGAAAAGAAAGTCAAGCTGTCAATAACTTGTTTAGTTATTCGGAAGTAGAGCGGAAGTAAAGGGAGGTAATTTGCAGGGGAAGTTGACGTTTTAACTTCTTGAGAAACCTCCCCATGATTTCGATACTCAAGTAGAATTCTTCTTTCAGTACAGCAGGTGGTATTGCAGTTCTCAAGTGAAAGCTAGACAAATAGTCCCACAATTTGTTGACTCTTGTTTGCCAGAAAATGCATAGCTTCCTGTCTATTCTCATGACAAGGCACGGGAATCAAGAAGTTTTCCTGTCATCATTGCTATACGATCGAAGTTTACTGTGGTGGCACTCATCAGATCAAAGTGAGCAGGATTTGGTGGCAAATGTCGTAGTTATTGTTATTTTCGGACATCGCCTGGGATCATAAATCTCATGCCAACTCTGCTAATACCCGAGTAGAATTCCTTTTTCATTGAACATGTGAAAGGGAACAACAGAAATAAATGAGTTGAGTCGATCCAGTAAGTCAGAAAATATCTTCCCAGGACAAGGAAAGAAAATACAAAAAAAAATAATTCTCCGTCATCTTTCCATCCACGGTCGAAGTTAACCGCAGTATAACTCATCAGAAATTTCAATTATGAGTAGGGCTAATGACTAATGTCGTACTTTATGTTGTCTCCGGAGTTCCCCTGTAAACATATTCCCATGCCAATTCTGCTTCGAAAAATCCGTCAAACAATGAAGAAGGAGAAGAATATGACAGTTTGAACCAACTGTTCGGTGATCCATTCCTGTAAAAGCGGAAACCCTGAAAAAAGATCTCTAGAACACAGATACCCCAAACACTAAGTTATCCAAATCTATAGCCACGCTGATGTTTTTCGATTTTTCTGAATCGTTTTTTTATTTTTCACTCCCTCTTCGTTTTGAATATAAGTCTTCACCTCCGTCTTTGGGATGGTACGAAGCGTTTTGGACAGTCCCATATTGCTAAGCCCTTTTCATTTTGTTCTGCTACTTCTCGAAAATTGTACGGAAGTGTTGCAGTAACATGTGGGGCTCTACCTTGGGGATGGTCAGAGAGTTAAATCTTGAAATAACACCCGCTTGAGTCAGCCAGGATATCTATCTCCCTGAAGTCTGTGGTTGCTGACAGACTGTCCTGGGAAGTTGATAGAAATAAAATGATTTGTACATGAGCTGGCCATCTGAAATCGTTCCAACAGTTCCAGAATAGCAGATCACGCTACATACAATTTCCTACATCACGAAACGCTGTCTCCGGCCGAAGACAAGACAACTCTCTGAAATGAATACGTTGAAAAGTAGGAAACCTTCTAAGACCAGGTTTTTCAGCTTTATTCACAACGATTCTGGAGGAAAAAGCCATATCTCTGCATAATTCGTGCGAAAACAGTGAAATCATGGCAAACAACATAAGGTCAGCGAAAACTTGAATTAAAGAAAAGTTTAATCAGAAATCATTTATTCCAGTACATCTAAGAAAATGGCAAAATGAGACGAGCAATTGAGAAGTAGGTCCTCTTATACACACCGAAATCAGTAAAGCGTAACAAGAACGAATCAGGGTAAAAATAGTAATTCATGCAATCTGCAAAAATAGTATTTCTACAAGAGCCATGTCAGAGAAACTTCTGGGCATAAGCCTTAAGACAATTGTATGCAGTCTTTGCAGGTCCGAGAGGGATTCCAGCCTCATCCTTCAACCATTGTGTGAACAAACTTTCATCTTTATTAAGCTGAAGGAATCGTCCGTACAGAGCAGAAGCTTTAACGTATCCAATTTGGGCAAGTTTCATCCCATACGAAGGTCCAATCCCAGCTACATCAGTGACAGGTTTATCGCCCATGGGCTCGTTGATAAAGTCGCTATTCTTCTTTGTTGCCATTGATACGAACTGAAATCAATATTATGTCATTAATAGAGATATAAATAAGGATTGGAGAAAACTGGAAGCCCATGAATGGTTAGCTCAACGATAGGAAAATCAATAGAAGAATCTTGATCCCGACATTTGGTCATGGAGGGAATTATTTACTCGGATTCGAGTTATTCGGAACCACTAGGGCTCCGCTCATTGACGTCACAAAAAAAAGCACATCTTACGAAGATATGAATTTTTTAATCTGAACTTAACCCCTTGAGGATTTGATTGTAGGGTGAGATTAATTATAGTTTTGTCTGGAGAGTATTGCCCACTTGAGATTGCTCCGCTCACCGCGTATGAGCCCCATGGCCTGGTTACTTTAGGCAATCTTTGCCCATTTACCCTGGGAAGGGGCTTTTCTGAATCAAGTTCATGAGGGCTTCCCATCACATCGACCCCGTTCCGAACATTACTCTCCCCTCTTCATCTTGCTTCAGGGACCACCCTTCCTAAATTTGACCCGTCCTCTTCAGGCCTTTCTCCAGATGTTACTGAAATTCGTGGCAGATAGACAAAAGCCAGTTTTTACGCATATCAAGTAATGATAACTATTCTATAGGTAGAAGTGATGACTCTATGGGTAATAAATTATGATGATGGCTTCATATATACTTCAAGTAACGTTATAAAGATCTTCGAAGATTGCTACGAATTTTTAACCCTAACCCCACCCATCTCAGTGCTAGCCTCTCCCACTTTCAGGATTGCGTTCCTGAAAGTGAGAGAGGCTCACAACTTATGGCTTATCACAGCTTTTTCCACATTCTAGAGCGTCTTCGAACGATGTTGTGAATTTTCAATCTTAATTCCTACAATTTGAAGGCCTTACCGTATTCCTCCTAAAGCTTTTAAGCACCTTCTTTTGAGCAGAGTCATATTTTTCTAACAAGTACCTCTTATAAAGATGTACACCCCGCCAACTTTCAGCTCGCGCTCCGATCGCGGGTGCCTTTAACATATAAAGGCCTTAATCACTGCTTTCAATTTGTCACTGAATTGTCCGTACTGAATGAGAAGAAAGCAGAAAGAACGTAATTTTAGTAGAAATTTTAAAAACAAGGTCATGATGTACACCTGTAGTGTTGCATTTTTTTCCTTGTATGACAATCTAGAGCTGTTTATTAATACAAAACACTTGTCTTTACTGAAATGCGAGGCTGGAAAGAATTGGTAAACTTGAGAAGATCAGTAATTCGAACTGCTGAAAGAATTCCAGTTTGAATGGCGTGAACAGGAAGCGATCTTACTGTGCTATGCTGCACTTCTAGCTGCGATATTATTTTTTTCGCCGCAGTCACATAAAAAACTACGCATAGATCATGGCTACAATGTACATGTGGCTTCATGAAGCTCTTTATGAAGAACGAGTTACATGAAAACGGAACAATTACGGTTAGTAAAACTGTACCTTTCGAAGTGAGCTGTTGTACAGGAAAGCCTACAAATGACTGTTCCAGTGCCCTTAAATACTACCGTTTCCGAAGAGTCCAAGAGTCAAAAGTCATGCTTATCAGCTTTGCAGACCCCATTAGTTCTCCATTCGGAGCTGCCGACCTAAGACTTTTTGATAGGTGTTGCATTTTGACACACAAAGATAGGCACTTATCAAACAGAGCATGGTGCGATCATTCCTATTACCTACTAAAATTCGCGCAAACGCAGATAACATAACGTACTGCACTTGCTTTTATCGAGTAGTGAACCTTGCCATCCGCTAGCATTGCATGACGGAGATCAACTTTTCTTCGCCAGAATCAACTCATAGAAGCTGAAAGGACTACAACGTCGAGGTGTCTTCGTCACCACAACCCGATATATTCAAGGATTCCACGCGAAGCCCTTTATGACATTAAAGTTTGAAACAAAAAACATACGAGAAGCTTTTTTTTAATATAGAAAAATATGAATTTCGTTTTAAAGTAATTGTGGGAATGTGGCGCAGTAAAGAAAGCTCCGCTGAGTTTTTTTTGGAGATTCCAATCCACAGACACCGTACCGTAATGTAGTGAGGAGTTTGTGAAGATATGTCGAACAATGACAAGGGAGCTAGTGCGCAAGGGGAAAATCTTTGAAGGCACAGTTCACGATGATTTTTGTACATCCTGTTCCAGACCAATAGTGGAAGTGATAGTTCGGTGTAGTGCAAAAGTGGAGAGGAAGGCGCTAAAATCGACACGTACAAAGGCGTATGAGGCTTCGGAGAAGTGGTAAAATTGGTGGTTAGACGAGAACGTGACGATAAAAATTGCATGGAAGAGGTATTTGTACGAGCTGTCCAAATGCGTGTGCCATTGCGCACAACTGGCTAATGGTAAGCTGCATGCTGCAAAGTCAGACCCAAGAGCGTCTCTTGTGCTATCCTCGGGGGTCACAGTTCCCAAGAAGAAATCTTTGAGACTGTTTTTATCATGAGCCGTTGCTTTAAAGTCTATGGCAACTCGATCGACGAGATCCTTCGAAATTCATTATCTCAGTGTTCATTGTTATGATCACGCCTTTCCTCAATGGTTGAATGCGGCCCCTATTTTTCCAGGAATTTTGTGATACAGACTGAATCCTAGCCTCGATACCCGTAATAATCTATTATGAAACTACACACTGACTTTATCTTCATAAACATCATAATAATCAAAATACGCCACACAAAATCTGATGTGTCATAGTCTTAGCTGTGAAGAAGATGCTGATTTTTCACCAGCGACACGAGCTTGGCGTCGAAGACACGATCTTCTTGAGAGTATAGTCTATCTTCCTTGCAGTCCTTCAGTGTTATATAGAAAGAACTGTAACCTGTTAAGGAACTGATATGAAAGGCATGTGGTTACGGCGAGAAACGGTCAAGAAATCGCGTACTAGTGATTCAAGGTTAGACTGTCCTAGTAAAATCCAGTCAGTAAAGGTAGCGGTCAGCATCCGCTCCATGATCATACACCATCATCGGCGTCTCCAGGGTATATATATAAGAGGAGAACCCTTCCGCTGAAAAGTTTTTCTGCTAACCTTCCAACACCACAGTATCTCCCTTTTCCCGTCGAACTCTATGTAGCATGTAGATGGCTATTCAAAATCTACTACGTATCTAGTTATCGTCTGTGCGGTGACCCTGCTATGTGCATTGCTCCTACTTTCGTTCTAGGTATCTTTGAGAAGGAATGAAAGTCCGTAGATGTTCATAATGCCGTATTGACGGAACTCTTCAGATTCGTTATTTTATTGAAGCATTTTTTTTGCTACAGATGCATTTTGTGATTTAGTTATCAATTAACGTTGAGCTCTCTGTAGTAAGTTATTGCCACAATTTTTGCTCTGTCCGACGACTATACATAAAATTCGGAATCTATGGCAATAATCGATCTCGCTTCGAGATGCGCAACTGCATTCGACTTTCACTCGGAATCGTAATGTAATTTTGTTTGCGTAACTAGTCTA